GTAAACAGTTAAGACAAGAGCCTTTTGTATATGTGTAGCATTTCCATCAAAACTACAAATCAACCCCTTTTTTAGATGAACAGTTGTTCGACACTCACATTTACATTGGTATCAATTTATGATAATAAATCGTGAAACAGGGTTTGGTTAAATATTTGAAAAAAAAAACATTATACTTTAGGATGAAATCAAATCGTTCAAAAATAAAGTGAAATAAATTGAATCATTCGTCTCCTTTCAATTGTTTTAGAGCTTTTCCTTCGTCTTTCTTGTCATTGATGTCATTGACGATTTCATAGAATTGCTACTCGCTGTCTTGATTTTGGTAGTACTCATCAATATCGAATCGAGGTTGCAATTGTGTTGCGAGCTGATAGATTGGGTTTTACTTGTCAAAACTGCAGTGACATCACGCTAGCTTCATCTTGCTCTGATTATAATTTTGTGCACTTGAACCGAGAGTATATAGTCCATAAACGGTTCCCACTCTGTTATCAAACATCCAGTCACAATTCTATTTTCTGTTTATTACAAAAGATGATTATGTGAACGTTTTGTGTCATACACAAGCTAAGTATGGTTGATTTTTGTGTCCTACTCAAATTTTTTTGTATTTTGTGTTGCACACAAACCCACCACGACGAAAAAAGGAGAAATAGTTTTAATTTCTCATTTTCATCCTGATTGTAACATAATTAACAAATCATACATCCATACACTCTAAGTTGGGATTTACTGGATGAAAAACTGAAATAATCGAATACTATAATGGTGGTTTTAAAGCAGAATTAATCAAATGTTAATTTGCTTTTGATTTGACAATGTTTTCGTCATAACTACAACATTTTGTTTCATTTTTGATAAAGAATAGAAAATAATTGAATTAGAATCAAATAAAAATTGAATATCGATAAAAATTAAAATTAAAGACAAATTAAAAAAACGGTATAATAATCAAAAAGATAAGTTTGATAATTTTTCTTCGGTTGTAAACCCTTGTATCACTCCAGGCTCACATCTTTAGTAAAGAAAACTTCGTCCTGAACTTTATGATATAAAAATTTAACGTTAGCAATCATAATAATGATGCAGTCCATATTTCACAAAGTTGCTTATGAAAATCTGTTGTATGTAAAGATTTAAATGCCTGTGTGTTGTGGATTCTAAACTACCCAATCGGAAATTTGCCCAAATCTGAGGAGCGAATCATAAGAGTCTCGAAGGCTGCGTACAGCCACCAAAAATCATTGGTTGAAAAAATGTGGTATCATAGGTTTTAAAAGGCTACATAAAGCCACCAACATATGCTGGCATAAATCTGCGGCGGGTCGGGTCGAAAAACTATGTTTGCCCATTTTATGATAATAGATTTTCCTGAAAATTTTACTCAATGTGTTGAGAAGAAAAGAAGAGATATTGCCCTTATTGATGAACTTCTTCTAGTTTAAATTTTGTAATTACAAAGATAATAATTTAAGTCATGGATCCCTATTTGGGCCCTAAGAAGGAACCGATGTGGCCCTAAGAACATCAGATGCTGCAGCATAATTTTGTTACGATTTTACATTGGCTAGGTCTTTCATCAAAGGCTTCATTCTTATAAATCACGTTATTGTACCTAGCGTATTTTTACTTTCCCTTAAGTGTAATAATGAACTTTCAGTTGATAAGACAGCCTGAAAAAGAAAATAATTATGACTCGTAAAACTGTACTATTTTAAACTCCTGTCCTTTTGCAACATTTTGCATATATGTTGAAATCGAAAAAAAAAATTTTGTCTCCGCCATTGGGTTCCAATCCTTCTATATCTATTTGATTTTGAGGATGGTCCATAATGAAAAGCGTACTTGACTGTTTTTGATCCCGGTTAACAATTAAATCCTTGTCTACGCATTTTGGCATATCCTTTTGGGTGTCATACAGAACCGCTATTCATTGTAGTATAGTTTGTGTTGCATAATTTTTTTTTCTACAAATGAAAGTTTTTCTGTTGAAAAGTTTTCTCCTCAGTAAGCTTAATACTTCTCGCAATTGCTTGAATGGGGAAATACCAGTAGAAGCACGCAAAAAAGAGTCTTGATTAGTGACATCCAATAAAAAACTTGGAAAACTCGTGTCTTTTGTTTTCAGTAAAAATAAATTAATTTTACTGCTCAGTAAATAAAGTGTTAAGATAACTTCACAAAACTTTAAGCGTTACAAAACTGTTGTAAAAATTACAATTACAATGGTTTTAACGCAGGAAAAAATGACTTTATTTTTTTTTAATATATTTTCAAAACTTGGCATATTGAACCGTTGTTTATAATTACTTCTGATTCTCTAGAATGTTTAGTACGTTAGGAATTGACTTTTTCATTCTTACAAATTATACTATACGCTTTATTGCCTTTTTGTTCCAAGGACTTATTAATCCTAAAAAATGTTCCTATTTTAAAAACAATACCTGCTGGAGAAATTGAGATAATGCGGGATGATTTTGGTGCAATAGTTATATTTTTATCAAGAAAACCATTTTGATAAAATCTTAGATATGGATAACTTTTGTTTCTTATATTACTAATAGAAATTGTTTCATATAGGCATTTTTTAAATTCCAAGTTGGAATTTGGAAAAATTATTGATATAAAAATTTGAGAAATGAAATCCATTCCTAAAATATTTAGCTGGCGACCGTCCTTGGCTGAAATCCATGCTTTGATTTTCACCGGATTATCAGTGTTAGTCACCGGATTATCAGTGTTAAAAAAGGAGTCAAATATAGTATAACCTATAGGATTAAGTTTTTCTCCATTAACAGCATTTGTGTTTGATCAAGAATATTTTAGCTGCAGACGCTGTTTTGTACAATATTGTTCTTAACTGTAAAAATTAATCAGCAAACAGTTGCGCCAGTGTCTAGTAAAAATTGGGTTTCCAGATCGTTACTTTTTTTGTCTTCAACGGGATGTTGGTATAAGTTAGAATACAATTGTACTTTTGGTTCAGACGGAGACCGAACTAGTTTAGATCAACAATTTCACACTCATTGTCGTTATAGTCTCCTGGAATTTCATCTTCACGAAAGTTGTGGATCTGGTCAAGTGAATGAAAATTGTTGTTTCCATTGAAGTGTTTTTTACTATTCGACCTGTCACGCATTTGAGAATTTTCATCGAAATTGTTGTCTACTTTTGACTTACAGCTAAAGTTATGAGAATTTCTGTTTGCATTCTCTCTTATTTGAAGCGAGTCATAATTTTCCTCCTGATGATCGTTTTATTTAAAGCAATGGCTTATTGTATGGCCTGAAATGCAACACCAGTTGCAAAACACTGGGTTGTTTTATTTGTTTCTATGCTCATGTGAAATCTAAGCTTCATTTGTTTATTATCCTTCATTAGTCCTGGTAACTTTTTAAGTTCATCCTTGATTCGTTA